TGGGTGAAAAAAGAAGAAATGACTGAAGGAAAAAAAGCACCCCTCCCCCCCCCTCTCTTAGCTCAAAGTCTGGATCCGCCACTGAGTTTGACACAAGTTTTGGTGCCCGTATGAATCTCTAGCTTCTCGTATCATTCTTATGTAAAATAGATCTTAAGAATTTAGTGAAACAAGTGTACAGTCATGTACATGTAATTCGTGTAAACATTTTGCTGTTAGAACGGTTTTCAATTGAGCGTTAGGCAGTTACTTTGGTTTTGGTTTTGGTTTTACCCCGGTTTGAGATTGGCTGTGTATTCTAATCGGTAAGTTATTGGTTTGGCTTTGGTTTTATGACACTCAATTGAATACTGCTCTATAATGATTATAGATTGGTGTGAAAGTAACTCAAGATGCAAACGTTGAGCAACTGATGGCTGCTGTGGAGAGAATTGCTGGAATTCAGTTCGAAAATGTAAGAGACTAGCCATTTTACTGCTGTTAACTAAGCTGTAGTTAGGTACCATGTTATAAATTTAACTTGTATATCAAAGGTAAAAGGGCTACTCCTGGGTGGCGACCAAAACATTAGCAAAGAAACCATGTGTACTGAAGGTGTAAAGGAATGATAATAATGACGACGACGGCGACGATGATGATGATGATGATGATGATAATGACGATGACGATGATGATGATGATGACGATAATGACGATGACGATGATGACGACGATGACGATGACGATGATGACGATGATGATGATGACGATGACGATGGCGATGATGACGATGACGATTACAAAAAAAGCATCGTTTTTGTTGTGTCAGAGATATCCTGAGTATTATACTGAACATTGCCATTTCAAAGTACTTAAATAATTGAGTACATTTTCTACATGTACATTGCCAAATTGCGTGAGATACAGTACATGCACCATTCCATGTTTTAACACAGTACATGTATTTTTGCATTGTTTCTCTCAGATGAGGGTGTATGAAGTGTTCCATGGCAAATTCCATCGAGCATTTGACCGAGGGTGCAGCCTGTCATCTGTGGCTCCAACAGACATCATGGTTGTGTAAGTATCGACTGAATACAGCAACATGTAGCAAGTGAAGTCAGATTTTCTTCACGTGTTAAGCTTCTTCCTGCACATGTACATGTTTTGTACCTATTTTACTTGATACTGTGCGTTTCCCTTGAGTAATAAAGTGGCGGTATTTTCCGCTCTTGTGGAGAAAGTCTCTTTTAGGTGATTCCACTGAATTGCATTTCATATGCTTCCAGCGCATGATTCCCACGTCTTTTTGAGTTTCGCTAATTCTGTTTCTGTGATTGTTTGTCCACAGTTATGAAGTGCTCAATCAAGAGGAGGCAGGTGAACAAGTCTATGAAGTACCAATCATACAGGTGCGATAACAGTAACGTTAATTGTTTGTAAAAGTGTCATAGCGATGGATATAAGAAAGCAAGTTTTTGAGAGGTAGTTGACTGCATGTATTTTGTACTATCACAAAGTGGTTTAATGGGGTTTAATGGCATTTCAACGACGCAAACTTTTTTGTTCTCGAAGAGTACAGAAAGATTTTTTTGGAGATATCTTACTTTAGCATTTGGCTGAAATCTTGCGGTTAAATCGTGCACTGATTATCGGATCTGAAGGTCTCAGTGATGTTGCTGCATACAGTGATAATGATTTGCAGACCGGCATGAAAACTTTCTTAACTTGATATAAGGTTTTTTTTTTTTTCGTGGTGAAAATTTGCGGTGAAAGTTTTCCTTGTAACCGAAATCCTACTCTTTTGGGATCGGACATGAGTGCAACATATTTTATCTAAGTATCAAGTATCCTACAGCATGCTGTCACGTGGATTGTTTAGCTAGTTTAATCAAGCGTTGGATTTTATTAACTGTAGAGAACAGTATGTCCACGTGTGCTTCCTGGTCACTGTGCTAGCTGTTACAAACGTCCTGCACCTGGTGAACTCCTCCGTAGATGCACACAGTGTTGGGGAATAGGATACTGTAACCAGTAAGTACAAAAACCGTACTGTGTCTTTGCGTTACTTTGTCTTTGCGTTACTGTGTCTTTGTGTTACTGTTGCTGTAACGAGTGTGTGTGTGTGTGTGTGCCAAATTTGGTGCTTTCTTCCAGTCGGTAACGATTTTTTTCCCTAAACCACCACACTAGACGTCTCGTTGCAAGTTTTATTTCTTTTCCGGAAAAGATCCTAGTAAATGGTTTGTCGCTCTGCGACATTATTTTTGTCCACCTCGTTTTGTCAAGCGACACGTACGCGTAGAGCGACTGTTCGGCTTGCAAACTACTGTCTGGCGTTTCTCATGTAGCGCCTTGTATACCGTGAGAAAAATGAGCGAGGCGCGCTCAATTTCCTCACGCTATGCGATCGCTTGGCTCTCCTCAAGGGAGAAGATCTCAAGGGAGGAAATCTCAGAGGCTGGTAGTCAGACAATTATTTTTCGTTTTCTCTCATTTATTTATTTATTTATTTATTTATTTGTTTATTTATTTGTTTGTTTGTTTGTTTGTTTATTTATTTATTTATTTGTTTGTTTATTTATTTATTTTTTCGTTTTCTATTTGCAGGGAATGCCAGAAGGGACACTGGGCGACTCACAAGAGAAGCTGTAAAAGAGTTCCTCAGCCCATCGGAATTCCTTTTGTGATCAGCGTTCCCGCCTCTAAGGCAACCTTCAAACAACTGCAAAAGATGGCTGAAGAGTATGCCAAGTAAGTTTAATCAACAGGCTTTCCTGAACTTTGGGGTCGATTATCTGTCGCTGTTTGGGAAGGAACAAGTTCAGACTCTAGAGTGTGACGGAATTGAGGCTGTTAGAATGCGTTACATACAATGTAGGGTAATGTACGTCATCCTTGTTGACAGGAAAGCGTGCTGGAGACGAAATGCTTGCAATGCTTGCGACGCTTAGGAGGGCTAATACTTTAAGGTCATTTCATCAGCATGTGTTATAGTGAACATTACTTTTCCTCTCGTTCTACCTGCTATTCATCCAGGTCCCGCTCGTCGCCCGCGCGCTTTTTCGATCGTCCCCACTGACCGAGAGCCTGGAACAGGCTAACAACACCTCGCCTTGCTGTACCTTAATAGAGAAGGGAGTTTCGAGTAATTTTTTCTTCTTTTTTTGCAGATATTCCGTAATTGTAAAGCCTGGGGACAGCCCAAAGGAAAATTCTGCAAGCAAAGGTGAAACATCCTCTGAGGCAGAAAGCATATCCTCTGGTGAGTCTCACCCATGGTGAAAGAAAACACAAGCCCAG